GGTGATGAGGGCAGTGTCAATGAGGCTGATGCGAAACGGGGAGTAGAAGAGAAGAAATACGCCACAGTGACCACGACTGCATATCGGCAGATACCATGCATATTAATACATAACGCGTAGGAAATAGGCTGACCTCAGGAGCGCCTTAACACTACACAGAGCATTCATTGTGACAGACATCTTGTGTCACATAGGTTTCACCAGTGATCTTAGGCTTGGGAAGAGGTCAATGCACGACCCCACTTCCATGAAATAGAACTTGAACTATGGCGTTATTACATTCTATTCCCACCCTCAGTGTGCTGATGCTGTGGGGGAAGGAAGAATTGTCAGCAATGAGGAGCAATGTTGTAATGCTTGAACAAATAAACAAAGTGTCGAAGGCAAAATATAATGCACGCCAACCCAACAGGACCACAATATGTTCTGGATTGCCCCATGAATGCTCACTGAAACAATGCAGGTCCTAGTACCCAAATATGAATAATACCGTTTTGGTAGATTTTACTGATACGTACTGCAACAGAACGCGGTCATAGCACACTAAGATGAAAAGCCGTACTTTGAGCATAATTGGGTAAGCATATCGCAGCATCCCATGGTATCGAGTGAGTGAAATCGGTATGAGAAAGGATCCGCTACTACAATACAGAAGCCCCAGGAGACCGTAAGCGTGACAGATGCCCAATCCATCAGGACGGCATCCAAACCAATGCAGATTGATTGGCTCGCGTGCATTAACATACACTTAACAGGTGGTGGATGTACTCCACGGGGCGACACTGTCCTTAGCGGGTAGAATTGTTGTAGCTGGCAATGACTTATTTCAAATAGGACGATCCAAATATAATGATGTGAATGCGTGGCAATTCTATGAAGTCGAAGTTTTAAGCCATTTCGAACACAGTTTCATTGCTTTCAGTGCCTTCTTAAAGTGAGCGTGATAGAGGTGGCAACAAAATTTTGTATTTTTGACGTGGCTTAGGGTAGATTTAATGGAATCATAAGAAAATTTGAGGCTTAACTCTGTTTTGCTTTTGTCATGGTAAGGGAAGTTGCCATTTAAATTGGAGTTCTCGTGGTGTACATGCGGAAACCCATGGCAATCCCTACCCCCGATAATCCAGCAAAACGGCCTCAGTCATTATTTTGCGCGACCAATTTACGCTCATGACTAATTTTTATGAAAACAAACACCAAGTTTGGGTTTTGGATTGAAACAAATGCTAAAAGCTGACCCACATTTTCTTAGTTTGTCCTCGTACACCAAGAACTACCAAAAATTAAAATTGACTTGATACGTGCAAACCACTTACTTACTTCGATTTCACAACGCGAGGTAATGCAGCCCAACGATGGATTGGCAAAGCCTGTCTTTCAGTGATTTGGCTTAAGTACTGATTTGCACGCTACTACCTACTGCGCAATAAGTAAGTCACCTAGAAGACCACCAGTTTTTTCACAATAATCGTTTTCTTCGAGTTTGACAGAAGAGAAACAGCAGTATCATTGAACGAGATAGGCACGAAAGAGTAACTTTTCTTTCTCGAG